AGGGGGTTTTTGGGAAAAAAAAAGGGGGTTTTTTTTAAAAAATTTTTTAAAAAATTTTTTTTTAAAAAAAAACCCTTTTTTTTTTTAAAAAATTTTTTAAAAAAAATTTTTTTTTAAAAAAAAAAAAATTTTTTTTTTTTTGGAAAAAGGTTTTGGGTTTTTTTTTTTAAAAAAAAACTTTTTTAAAAAAATTTCCTTTTTAAAAAAATTTTTTTAAATTTTTTTTCCCTTTTTTAAAAAAAAAACCCCCCCAAAAAAAAAAAAAAAATTTTTTTTTTAAAAAACTAAAAATTTTTTGGGGGGGGGTTTTTTGAAAATTTTTTAAAATTTTTTTTGGGTTGGGGGGAAAAACCCAAAAAAAAATTTGAAAAAAATTTTTTTAAAAATTTTTTTTAAAAAATTAAAAAAAAAAATTTTTTTTAAAAAAAAGGGGTTTTTATTTTTTTTTAAAAAAAGGGTTTTTTTTTTGGGGGGGAAAAAAAAATTTTTAAAGGGGGCCGGGGGGTTTTTAAATTTTTTTTTCCCCCCGGGGAAAAAAAAAAAAATTTTTTTTTTTTTTAAAAAAAAAAAAATTTTGGTGCCTTTTTTAAAAAAATTTTTTTAAAAAAAAAATTTTTTTTTTTTAAAAAGGGGAAAACCCAAAAAAAAAAATTTTTAAATTAAAAAAAAAAATTTTTTTTTTCCCCCAAAAAATTTTTTTTTTTTTCCCCCCCAAAAAACCCAAAAAAAAATTCCCCAAAAAAAAAACCCCCCGGGAACCGAAATCAAAAATTTTTTTTTTTTTAAAAAAATTGCCCCCTTTTTAACCCCCAAAAAAAAGGAAACGGGGGTTTTTTTAAAAAAACCCAAAAAAATTTTTTTTTTAAAAAAAATTTTTTCAAAAAAAAAAATTTTTTTTCCAAAAATTTTTTTTTTTAAAAAAATTTTTAAAAATTTAATTTTTTTTAAAAAATTTAAAAAAAATTTTTTTTTTAAAAGGTTTTGGAAAAAAAAAAAAGGGGGCCCCCCCAAAAAAATAAAAAATTTTTTAAAAAAAAAGGGGGGTTTTTTAAAAAAAAATTTTTAAATTTTTTTTGGAAAAAAAAAAATTTAAATTTTAAAAATTTTTAAAAAAAAAATTTTTAAAAAAAAAAAAAATTTTTTTAAATTTAAAAAATTTTTTTAAAAAATTTGGGGTTTTTTTTAAAAAATTTTTTTTTGGGGGCCAAAAAAAATTTTTTTTGGGGGGCCTTTTTTAAATTTCCAAAAAAAAAAATTTAAAAGGGGGGGGGGGGGGGGGAAAACCCAAAAAAAAAAAAAATTTTTTCCCCGGCCCGGGGGGGGGGAAAAAAAAAAAAAAAATTGGGTTTTTTTAAAAGGGGGGTTTTGGCAAAAAAAAATTTAAGGGAATTTTTTTCCCCCCAAAAAATTTTTTTTTTTTTTTTCTTTTTTTTTTTTTTTTGTTTTTTAAAAATTTTTTAAAAAAAAATTGGGGTTTCCCCCCCTTTTTTTTAAAAAAAAAAGGCCCCAAAAAAAAGGGAAAACCCAAAAAATTTTTAAAAAAAAAAATTTTTTTTTTCCCCCCAAAAAAATTTTTTTAAAAGAACCCCCCAAAGGGGGCCCCCCCCCCCTTTTTTAGGGGTTTCCCAAAACCCCAAAAAAATTTTTTGGAAAAAATTAAAATTTTTGGGGTTTTTTTTGGGGAAAACCTTCCCCTTTTTTTTTCCCCCTTTTGGGGGAAAAAGGGGAAAATTTTTTCCCCTTTCCCCTTGGGTTTTGGGGGGCCCCCCCCAAAAAGGGGAAATTTTTCCCTTTTTAAAAAAAAGGGAAAAACCCCCCCCTTTTGGAAAAAAAAAAATTTTTTTTTTGGGGGGGTGGGACGCCTTCTGAACAATATCTGATTGTTGTCGTGATTAAATAAATGTTTTTAACAAATATTGATAAAAATTTTTGAATTTCCAGCCACGAATCACAGATCTTGATCAGACTTTTGACACACATTTTAATCGGGAATGGTTCCTATCAAGGACGGCAGAAAAAATCCCTGAATACGTGACTTAGGCATATAAAGCGAGGACGGAAAGAGTTTATAATAAAATAGTAAAACATGTGTTAGAAACCACGCCTGAATAAACCCCACCTTGTAAATAAAAGTCAATCTCTCCGACATCCCCATTTTGATCGAACAGATCTGAGTTACCTCAAACTCAAAACCACTGTTTTATAAAGACCATATTTGGTTTCTCCTTTTGGTCTGTGCCCACAGGTTTGACTCTATCACACGAGTGCCAATGGTCAGAAAGGTAAGCCGTGACAAAGTTTTTTGATTTATAATAATTATATCCCTTTGGAGTATTTAATGTTTTTACGAGTTTTAATTCATATTGTTATTTTTCAGCTATATTTGAAGTACAGGGTGTGGGTAGTGGTGGTCAATGTGGGGATGTAAAAGAGTCATCAGTTATTGCCATCGAGGCAGTCAGGTGGTATCTACAACAATACAATGCCAATAATAGTGATGGACTTCAAATTGGTAAGTTATTAAAGCTGCATGCCTCTATAGATGCAGCCAAAAATATTTCAAGACAATTAAAAGTTGAGAAAAAATGTTTTAAGATTTTGGGAAAAGTAAAAAGATTCAAGTAGTTAAATTTATATGGTATGTGCGATTTAATGACTTGTTTTTTTCAGTATTTATCACCATATTTCCACTGCGGGTATGTCTTAATTTTAAAAGGTAGTTAAGATAATAAGTGTTATTTTTCTTTGATGATTGGTAAAGTTAACACGGCGACATTTCTAGCTTTCCAGCGACATTATCTAGCTTTCCGTCTGGAGGAAGATCTCATAACATGGACCCCCCAAATCTCTTGCGGGATTCGAACCCAAAGAATGAGAGGACGGTGGGTTCGAAGTTAGACCTTAACCACCCCCATTTTCATTGATGGTCTTTCTAAACTGAACTTCAATAATAACTTAACTGTTTGTTTGTAACTTTGTTTGACATTTGATTTATAACGAGTTGTAAATAACTTTTAGTATAATACAGGAAGTAGAACAAGTTTTTTTAAAAACAAAATCTTAATCTTAGATTATCGAAACAGTTGTAAAACTTAAGAGTTTGCGTGAAAGTATAGAAAAGGAAGTATTTTATTATATCACTACCCTTTGTGAGAATGTTTTAGAGAGAAATTGTTTACATTATTTTGAGACAATTTTTTGTGGCAGCCACTGTTCAAATATTAGCCATGAATACATGAATAATTAAAAAAAATAATTTGCATATAAAAATTAAAAAAGAAAACTGAAAATTTATATGCATTGTTCAATTAGCTGTTAACTTTATCCGATTTTATATTATAATCTCTGTTGAGTCTGGTAGATTTTGTAATATGCGAAGATAATTTAATTCAGACTGTGTAACTTGTGCAATACTAGCTAAAGTAGAAATGAATATCATTATTTATTTAATTGTCAATTCTTTAATATTGATAGAAGCTAATGTACTCTTTCTTTTACAGAATACGAAAACCTGGCTAATTCATTAACATAGAAAATTTATTGATTGAATAGAATTTATTACTAAATGCCAGCAAGTTTAGCTCAATAGGGAGGAGTATCGGATTTAGTATTCCAGGGGTGCTGGTTTGAATTTTGGCCTAGGAATAATTTAAGTCCATTAAATGGTCATTTGCCTGCCGGGCCGCTGGATTACATTTCATTATTTCCTTTTATGGTAATACTTGTATACCGATTCTAGTAGAGAGAACTTAATAGTGCAGACAATTTATGTGTATAACTTTATGATAATTGGCACAACAGATAAAGTGCTAAATCAACATTATTAGGAAATTAAATTCTTCGGGGTTTAAAACCTTTTCCCAATTTGGAACTTTAAAAAAATAAAAAATTTTTTTTTTAAAAATTTCTTTTTCAATAAAAATTTTAACCGCCCGCTAGAAATTTTGGAAGCGCCCCCTAAACATTAAAAACAACAACCGTTTATTTCCCAAAAGCCAAAGTGTAAAAAAAATTTAATAAAATAAAATGAAATATTTAAAAAGCCCAAAAAAGGTTTTACCCCCTTCAATGAGGGTTTTCGGTTTTAAAAAAAAATTTTGAAAAATCTTTGGGCAGCAGGGGGAAACTGCTTTTGGATATTCATTTCATCGTTTAAAAGGACGTCATCGACGGCAAATAGTACGGAAAAAATTTTTAAACCGTTTTTCCTAAAATTGTTTTTTTTAAATATTATTTTTAATTATTAACCCGATTTTCCCAAAAACAAATTAAAAAATCTTAAACCCCGGGTATTTAAAAACCCTTAAAATTAAAATTTTCCCATAACCAAAAGGTACGGAACGATCCGGTACAGGTTAAAAAGGTCTTGGAAAAATGGGCCCCTTTTTTCCAAATGCAAACTCCGGCCTTTTCACCTTTTTTTCCTTTTTCCCTTGGCCTGTTTTTGTAACAAAGAATTAATTTTTTTGTTTCCAAAGGAATTTTGGCTAAATTTTTTTTATGCCAATTTCAAAATTTAAAAGGGTGGATCGGGAAAGGCTTTTGAAACTTGTCGTTTTTTTTTTTTTGTTTTTTTTTTTCTCTCTGTTTATTGTTTCAAAAACTTGGGGGATGGGCCAAAGAAAATTTGGGAAACCTTCCCCCCCCCTTCAACCTCCAAAATTCACAGGTTTTTGCACCCTTTGGGGAGTTCTAAAACGCCAGACCCCGGGCCCAAAATTCACGAGGTCAAATGTCAAGGACAACAGGATCAAAAACACCCGGGGGAATGTCGCCCATTCGAATGTAGCGCTTCTTTTTGTACAATATTACATACAAATAGAATTGTTGTATCTAAGAAAATGATGGACTCGTTGTATGATTATGAGTTTATTTCTCAATGATTTGATAGAAAAAAATACAAGGAAATTGCTATTAAATGATTGAAATTTCGTGTCTAAATAGAGCATGGTAAGAAACCAACTACAAATACATTAATAAATACTACACTTTTGTAACGCCGCTTTTTTGATAATAATGGCAAATTTCAGGAGTTATCGGGCCTGAGTATAGCTCCGAGACTAACGTAGTATCCTCAATTTTGGGGTCGCAGACGACAAAAGACCAGATGTTGCAAATTGGGTTTTCAGCTACATCAACAGAACTTAATGACAGAGTTAAATATCCGAATTTTTACAGAGTGGCAGTGGAAGATCGAGCTCAGATTACGGTAAGAACGTAAGATACTACGTCATTTGAAAAGCACTTCCGGTACACATTTGTAGAGTATATGCACGGGTCAATGTTGGCACAAAGCGAAATTATTCGTTTGCTATATTTTGTTTGTAATATTTTACACTTTGAGATGAAGACAAATGAAATTTGATTTCAAAAGTTTACGAGAGTGAAGCATACTAATTATTACTCTGAGTGAGTACATATCAGCACCCATAAAAAGAAACCTCTTTATATTAAAATATTTATCCTGAAGATGATAACCATTTGTCCGTGCAGTCTGACCAGGCTCTATACTATTGACTGAGTATGTTTAAACTTCCATCTTAATTTCCCCTCAAGCAAAGTTAAAAAATTAGAAGCTGGGCATGTCCATTTAAAAAAAAGAGAAAAGAAAAAAAACACACACATAAAATACACCAGGTTTAGGGTTGATGTAAATCATTTGGGGCAAAAGAGGAAAAAAAAAAAATACAATGGGTTGGTTTTTGTGAATGGGTATCGATTAATATAAAATTGGATTAATTTCTTTTTAATTTTTTGATTAATTTGAATATATGTTACAATGCACTTTTATCAGACTATTCAGTAAATCATCACACGTGACTTACTCAATTTTGAAAATTCTATATTATCATTTAGAACCTAACAAAAGTTTTATAAAACATCAATAAAATCTGTTGACAATTTGGAATGCAGGAAGAAATATTTGTATTGATTTTCCTTAAGATTGTCCCTAAATGTATTGACTGCACATACAGTTAGGATTGCGCTACAAAGGAGGAAAAAACATATTTGTATTGTTATTAAATATCTATTTGGCAGTAACTGCATGTTTTTTCCATTAATGAAATCCCCGCACAGAGACTTTAACATTGTCTTTGTTCAGCATTATAACAATCAATGCGATTATAATTTATGCATAACGCACCGGTTCATTGAGTTCACATGTACATTCTATTTAATTTAACAGCAGTGTTGATAAATTTTGCATTTTCTATTTTCAATGCAATATTCCACTGAGATCTTGCAAACATGACACCATGAAGCAATTATACAATTTCATAATAAAAGAAGAATAAGAATCTATTTAAGTTTGCATGAAACTTAAAAATTTTGGGAAGAGGTGCCCCAAAATGACAAATTTGATTTTTTTGTTTTGGTTTTTTTTTTTACCCGGGGCACCAAATAATTTTTGGGAAAATGGCCCCGATACAGCAAAGTGATATTGACTTTAAACCCGCCCAGGGGTTTCAAACTTAAAGCAAAACCAGGGGTCAAAATCACCCCACCTGCTTGAGCTAAGAGATGCATAGACTCCAGTAGTTCGAACTCATTTAGTCATCTCATATTATCAGGCCTGCAATTCTGGTGTCTCAACCCTTCAAGGTAACTGCTCAGGGGTATTACACTATATATTATGGAGGAAGGTTTAAACTATTCCTATTGTTTTTCATTATTTAGAAATGTAATAATAATCCGAATAATTATAAAAATAGTAAAAAAGATAAAGTGTTTACAAGAACACGGAACTTAAAATCTGTAATTGTAAAAAAAACAACAAAAAACAGCAACAACAAAAAACAAACAGGCAAAAAAAAAAAAAAAAAATAAAAAAAAGAGAAAAGAAAAGGAAAAATAACCCGCAAAAACGCAATAAAAATCTGCACAAAAAATGCGGAAGTGCTCATAGCATTTTCACATACATGTACTAATAAAGTTGTCATACTTTATAAATTTAGTCTGTTTGACTTAAAGGCCCATGAAGCCCCAAAAATGATATTACTTTTTATTTCTCTAGAAATTTTGATTTTCTGTGTCCTTTTACAATTCCAAAAAGGTTACCAATTGCCTATATAGCTCAACCATCTTTTATACTTTGGAGTTTTACTACAGTTATAGTGATTTAGTATTTTGTATGGAAGTTAAAATACTACTTCGTTTACAATTGGGCTACATTTATGACAAATAATGTTATATTCTTTTGTCTATACATTCTTCATGTAGTAATAGTCAAACAGGCTGTAAAATCATGATTTGAAAATAAGATAAACACATGAAAAAAATGTTTAAAAAAATGTCTTTCTGTGCTTTTAACTAAAATAAATTGTAAAATATTTTGAACATAGCTATCGCTTTCATTGAAATAAAAGCTCGTCTTTTTCTGGAAATTAAAAATTTATGGCGCTACAAGGAAGCTTTTGCCTTTACTAAATATGAGCCAGGAAGAGTTTTTTTTTGTTATAAAAAGTGTGATTAAATTCCCATCATTTTCAATATGATTTATCCCAACACGTCTTTAATAAAGTTTGTTTTGGTCGAAGGTTTGCCACCATGTCTTAAGCATACAATGTGTGAGCATTTTAAGGTCAGTTTAACGGTTTTGCTTGGTAGTGGGAATCAGTCAAAAAAGTTTAGTCGATCAATCAATCGGAGCCATAAGTCGGTGATAAATCGATAAATGGTGTTTGAGCAACAAAATAAAAAAAAAGTTTTTCTATTTGAGACTTCGTCTGGAAAGGTTTTTGTTAATTTCAGTTTAAGTAGCAAGGTCCTAACGTATGCTCCGGGCAGTTGTTGCCTAGTGGTAAGGGCCTCTGACTTTCAGCCCAAGGTCCAAGACCATTGTTAGATCGGATCAGAACCATGTTTCCTCTTATGACACCAGTACTGGTGCCAGGGAGCGTGCTGAAAAGTAAAGTGTTATAGACCTTAAGGCTTTGTTTTACACTCAAGCATGACTACATTTGTTTCAGCTACAAACTTCAGAATTATAAGTCTTTATATCACTTCAGATGCAATAAAGTCTTACGTTAATGTACTTTATTCATTTCTTTGGTCCCTTGAAAGATTTTTTTAGTTTAACACGGCTTGTACAGATCAGTTTACATACGGAAACAATATCGAACTAAAGTCATATTTTACATTTATGGTATTAGATAACAAATCTATTGTAAATTATTCAAAGTATCCACATTAAGCATGCAAAACAAACGAATGTCGAATTTATGCACATTTAGGAAGTTAAAAAGTTTAGTATATCAAATAACTGATTACATTTGAAAAGACTGACTACCCTCTCTATGCTATAAAATGTTTTGTTAATTCAATTCAATATTTATAATATCAATAAGTTATAGTTAACGATGGAGCGTTAAAGGGGAGACTAAAGCTGTTTAAAATGTTTACCGTTGTCTTATTAGTATCTAAGTAATAGAAAGAGTATCGAAACATAAGGCTATCTAATTTGTACGAGAGAACATAGCCCCCCCCCATAAATGAAAACATACTGATTTAAACTCGGGGACTATATACTCCCTCATACAAACCAGATAGCCCCGTGTTTCGATACTCGTTCTTTCCAGATAGACGTGACTAAACGAACTAAAGTCACCACTTTGCCGTAGGCCTACTTTCGCTCCGCGCACCAATAAAATTATGATGTAATTGTATTTGCAAGTCGCTTATATGAATTAAACGCCATTTGGTAGTTCATGTATTCATCAAAAATCTTGATCCTGATGTTTTTTCCTATGTCAATTTGCACATTTGTAAAGACAAAAAGTTCGTCAAAAAAAGAGAGAAAATTTACCCCCCCCGTCAAAAGAAAAAAAAAAACAACAACAAAACAAAAACAACAACGAACAACATGTACATGTAATTGCAAGGTAGGAGGATGCAAGGAAACATGTACTAGCAGACGTCTCGATTCGGTTCTTCCATCGATTATTTAGCTGACTGGAAACTGTTATAGATGCTTTTCTTTTATTAAAGTTTTTTTTTATAAATTTCTTTTCAGACTATATTAAAGCTTTTGTTAGATCTCAAATGGAACCGAATAGCAATTGTTTATGTCAACGATACGTACGGACGAGTTGGTGCATATATGTTGCAACAAGCCGCCGAGAAGAACGGCATATGTTTGTCTAAAATGAATGCAATAGAAATTGACGACAGCAGACGTGTTGACATCACTGAAATAAGAAATATCCTATCCGATTATGTGCTAGACCCACCCAGCATTGAAGGTGTCGTCTTCTTCGGAACTGACGTCATTACTAAGCAAGTCATGCAAATATTAGAAAAACTTTCGACGCAAGACGCCCCGATAGTTATACTATCCGAATCAGAGCTCAATACAGACGTGTTTCTTTCCCACTCGGGTGATTTGTTAGGGAAAACAAAAGGCACGCTTGCTATTGCTATGCAGAACTTAGAAGTACCAGAGTTTGTACGATATTGGGAGTCAATGCTTTCAAACAAAACCGCCATGCTAGCTGCTGTGGACAACAACCCTTATTTAAAGGACGTATTTCTCCAATACGCGGGTTGTGATATAGAATCCGCAAGCTGTGAGGCATTGACTAAAGAACAAATAGCTAAACTGTCTTCGAAACTGTTCTACGTTCACTACTCCGTGTTTGCTGTCCATACACTTATTAAAGCTATAGAAAAATTCAACGATACAGTTTGCAAAGGAGACTGCAACACCAAAGAGAAATTCAAATCATATTTCCAACCAAACCATCTTGTTGAAGCTATGGATGGACTATCCGTGTCATATGGCGGTATTGATGCTTCGTTTACTAGAGACACCCCGAATATTCAACTTGCAGACGGCGAGACGGAATACGAGGTGTATAATTTTAGGAAAGACCCAGATAACGGTGACGAATTTGCATTCGTTAAGGTAGGATGTTTCAATACTTCTTTAGGAGCAGAAAAAAAAATATCAAAAAATGCATGCCAGTCAATAAAATGATTTGAAGCTAAAAATCTAAACAGTTTGTTACTATGTGAAATTTTTAGGAGACGCGACTAGCTCATTTCTTTACTATCCAATCAAAACGATGCGTAAGATACTTTCCTGCTTAATATTCTAAAACACCATGTATAACCCAAAGCGAAAAAATGCAAAAATAATTAAGGAATTGTGCAAAATATTAACACCGAATTTCGAATATGTGCATAGATTCTGCGTTACTACTGCACAAGTTTATGTCTTGGCATTTATACATTTTTTATGAAAAGCTAGACAATGACTTAAAAAAAAATATGTCGTTAATTTTCATTGGTATCAGGTAGGATATCTATCGGACGATGTTCTGCATTTGGACACGGACAAGATAAAGGATTACAAATCTGATGGGACAGAAAGAAGCTACCCAAATATAAGGAGAGGACAATGCCCTGTTGGGAGCAGATGTGATAAATGCATTGATAGCGATATTACAGAAATAAACTATCATATTCCAGGAGATTTCTATGTCATAGGTAAAACTGATATAAGAGTGAATGAAGATATTCATATAACATTGATTACTGGTATTGAATACATTTAATATAGATAACCACCTAAATGGGCAATTCTGATCTCTTTTTTGCCCATTTATCTGCCTTTTTACACATATAGAGAAATTATTGAAATTTCGTATAGGCATTGTATCTTGCACATTTTACATGCTCAGCTCATATTCATGGTCCTTTACAACTTACAATGTATTTCTTGTGTAGTACTTAGTTATTTATTGTATTCTTGTTAATATATATATATATATATATATATATATATAATATATATATATATATATATATATATATATATATATATATTATGAGCCGTGCCACGACAAAAACCAACATAATGGGTTTGCGACCAGCATGGATCCAGACCAGCCTGCGCATCCGCGTAGTCTGATCAGGATCCATGCTGTTCGATATCAGTTTCTCTATTTGTTATAGAGTTTGTAAGCGAACAGCATGGATCCTGATCAGACTGCGCGGATGCGCAGGCTGATCTGGATCCATGCTGGTCGCAAACACACTATGTTGGTTTTGTCGTGACACGGCTCATATAAAAGTTATAGAATGCAGGTACAATGAACTGTTATTACAAAAGTTATATTATGTTGCTACTAAAACTATTTTGTTTAAACGATTTTACAGGAGAGAGTTTCATATCAAGTTTAAGCTTTCTACTCAATCCTGAATGCAACATGCTTAGAAATAATTGAAAAAATATGTTTGTGCTATACTATTAATTAGAAAGCGTTGAAAAGCTTTTCAGTTTTGGGGTCATTTTTCACAATTACAACAAGCACTCTATAAAACGGAGAGAGCGAATGATCACAAGTTATTGATCTAGACGACAATCAAACGGAACACGAATCTCGAAAAAAAAAGTTTTCATTTCCGTAACAAAATCTCAGTCGAGTCCCTTTAAAATAACTTGTTTTTTTTCGTTTATTTTACAGGAATCGTATCTATTAACAATAAAGCAATTCCCGGGCCCATTGGATGTGGTACAGTCAGAACAAGGCACGGATACCAAATGTATTTGTCTATGGAAGTAAGAAATAAAAACATTTGTAACGCATTCATTCAATGACTATCTTATTCTACGGCTAATAATATTTATTTCTTCAAATTATATACCATGATAAGTTGTACCGTTGGAATTGATCGAGAAATGATGTATTCCCAGGAGCTCACTGAGTGAAAATACAACTTTGAGTCTGCAATTTTGTTGTGATTAATGCTTCTGAGTGATCACACTTTATCCAGATTGTTATACTTCACAACGGCAGGTGCCAATTGCTGTTTGGCAGCCGTAAAAAGTTGCTCCGTACTTCACTTGAGTGTTGTTATATTTTTTCTGGTCCATCGGGATCATTGATTCTAACACTTTCAAGTGTTGAAATTTAGTACCGCTCAAGCCGGTGCTAGGGGGCGTGAGAGATTTTGCATTTTCTCAAAATCCATCATGTACAGACTCAATCAAACCGTTTCTGCAATTTTCTACGAATCAATTTCAATATATAGATATATTGTACATATATTTTGTAGAATTTTTAGTTCGTTTAATATAAATTTTAAATGACTTCGTAGGTATCTACAACTGTCTGATAATATCGACATATTCATTAGGGCACATTATCTTTGAAGTCGTGTTTACTTTGTTTACCATCTCCCTCGGAAAGGTCTAGCATATTCTTCAACTAATGTAGCAAAGACATTTTTGATCGTAAAAATTATTTTTATATGTATATCATTATGTAGGTAACTTTTTATATTCTAATAGTTACCATAATTTGAATTCTTACTAATTGTAAACTAAATTTAAAATGCTAAACATTTGTATTAAAACAAACCCAAAAAACATTTGACGGGCTTTAAAAAAAATAACACGTTAATAATTTGAACTTTGCTGCATCTTTTCCTTCACATGTTTGTACCACGTTTTATCCACATTAAATAAGTAACATTGTTGTTTTTTTTCCAGTACAGTTTAAAAGAATTTCATACTAAAAGCTGGTATTCATCATACAAGACTAAGTTTGCTGGAAAGTCTGTTGGACTAATTGTAATCAACAGTTGTAACAATGCACTTGAAGTAGTGTCAAAAATTCTTGACCTTCACTCAAAAGGTCTAAAGTTACCAAATGGAACATTCCTGGATTTGACTGGCCGCATTCTTGGTAAGTTGGTTACAGCTCGATTCGAGTGAGAAGAGTGGTGGTGGTGATGGTGTTGGTATTCTTTACTCCGGATCACGGTAGTAAGCCACATGGAAAGACTAAAAAAGTGTTGGAACACCTTACTAAATACCGTATTCCTGTATAAACCGGACAATGCGCTTGAATAATTAAATGCTTCAATCACTGTTTTTCACCCGCCGAAATGCACTCTAAGATGTGTAATCTATCTGTTCATATTTCTGTTTATATTAATGAAAAATGTAAGAATCGGCGAAAAAGGTGATATTTTTCTACTTTGTGATCATGATTTCTGCAAGTGTCTGGAGGTATCGCTCCAACACTGTAATGAGTTAAATCCGATCGAGTCATTGCTGAGATAATAATATGTAAAGTTTCAGCGTCTTGCACATTTCTTTTGTATGTACTAATTCGTACCTTTTCTTTCAATATATTTTCACTTTTCATTAACCATTTACATGCTAAATATTTTAATGAACACGTCGATTTTTTCAATATAGACAAAACCATTCAAGTACAAAAATCAAAATATGTACTGGCTGAATAACGAGCAATGCAGACCACAATCTTGGTCTTCTATGGCCTAAGTTGCCGCCTGCAGGCGAAGTGTTAAAGTTGTATTTCTTTATAATGGAATGACTCGATGTATTTTTTTTATCTTGTTTGATTTACAGAGGAATTTCTTTTCTTCAAACATAGACTTTCAATGAATCAAAAATTAGTATCACATCGCTACTTTTTTTGCCATTTTATATTGACGCTTTTGTCGTGTCTTGTTTTAGGTTATGTTGGTGGTCAAGCGACCGAAGTTAGTGAACCTACTGCTGCACAATTAACAAAACTGAACTTTGTACAAATAAGCTACACATCTACGAACCCCATACTCAGTGACAAGCATCTGTATCCTTATTTCTTGCGCATGATTTCGCCAGATAATTTACAAGCTGAAGCAATGATAGAAATAGTAAAAGGTAAGGTTTTAATCGTGAAAATCTTCGGAACATTTCGGTTCATTCCGTCCGTATTAAATGGTATAAAGCTAAAATTGGCGGGAAAAAATATATTAGTTTTAAAATCTTCTTTTTGTATACAGTTTGTTTCATCGTATTCTTTGTAGAATAATATCTGGAGAGAAATATTATTGAAGCCATATGTGATACTTGACGGATATGGATTTTATAAAAAACAGATAATAAAATTTCCCAAACTTAATATTCAATGCAAATTTTATATGTTTAGCGATGATGCGCTCAAGCGCATTTGAGCTCGGACATTAAAATTAAGTCAGATAGTTATTTGTCTCGAACTGTTGGTTCAGACATCATATGCGATCAGTAGTCGATAACTTGCGGAGTAAATTTGTTCTTACTTGTTAAGGAATTATCCAGATAAGCCGGTTAGATTGGCCATGCAACATTTTCAATTTTGCTCCCTTTTGCGTTCTGAAAGGTTACCATTAGGTTTATATTTCATATTTTTGCAGCGCTTGGTGGGGAATACATCCAGATTGTGTATAGTGAAGGTGGGTATGGTGTCGGAGGGAGAGACTCTGTTCGAGAGGTTGCAAAAGCCAACAAGATTTGTATCATACAAGAAATAATAGTCGTAGAGGCGGAAACGAATGCATACTTCGGTTATTATGAGATGATGCGAAGAAAACCGCACGCTAAACTCGTAATTATATTCTTACGATCTCACATTGTTGGTCATTTCTTGAGAGATGTTAACACTGAAATGACAAGAGGTGAATTTCAGTTTATTGGATCAGAAGCTTGGGGCAAGAACAGAGACGCGTTACAATACGATATCAGCAAAGGGGCTATAATAACAGCAGTGGAAATGGATACTGACAGAGAACTGGAAGTCTATATCAAAGGTAGTGGGAAAATTATGCAAGAAGCATACCAACTGGTTTTCATTTTATTTCAGGGTTTAGAAAAATGTTGCGGATGAATGCAAGCAAGATAATTTAAAGTCTGTCTGCTGATATCATTTCAATTTTTCAATTTGAGTTTGCTTAACTCCTTCCTATTTGGCAACATTTAATTCCATTTCGAAACCTGTCAATATTTAGTGTAGTTCGATTGTTTTTTGCATGCCAGGTCCTGTTTTTAGCTTTTCTTTCTTACATTTCCGTTGTTCCCCATGTACATTTACACTTGAAACGAGTCTACGATTCTCATTTTTATTGCTTCTTAGCGGTAATCCCTTATACGATATTCACAATTTTGAACTAAAATAAAAAGCTTAACTATTAAAACTCTTGCCGGTATCAATGATCCTGAAAGACCAGAAAAATATAACAAAATTGAAGTTGCTTAGTAAAAACTGACTTTACAATTTAACATAACGATTTATGCATCCATTCAACTCTTATTTTTCCACTAGTTTTATTATTGCTAGTTAACAAATGTGCTTATATTATTTACTTCAGATCAAACACCTTCCATTGATGTTCCAAATCCTTGGCTATTAAACTACATACAGAATAGACAAGAATGCTACATGAGTTGGAGCTATGATAAAACATTTCCGAAAGAGTGTAGCGCTGATGATTTGCCTACAAATGAAAACGATTTCGTGTCGGATCCATGGTGCATATTCGTTGCAAAGACTATGTCGGCATTCTTGAAAGGTAGCTAAGGGCCACGCGTACCATAATTTGAAATCAAATGCATTGAGTTTTGAACCAATTCAAACACAAATATAAGTCGATGGCTTTTCCGTCTATTTTTCCTTCTATTCTGTTTCAGTCTTCTATTAGGAATTCGATTCTTTTTTTTTAATTTTGTATATCAATTTTTCATAATACAGTGCCTGTGACTTGTTTATTTAACCCATTGCACGACACGAAAGAAACAGTTACAATAATATCGCGTTTGAGCTAGACTATTTTGACAACTTACCTAGAGTCAGAAAAAAACAACAATATTTATTAAAACAGTTTGACTACATTAAGTTTATCTTTAATCGTTTCCCTTTCTTTGTCAGGGGCGGCAATGTTTTACAGGGACAAATGTGGTGCATCGTCCAGCAGAACACTTTGCTCTGACTTTGTTAGCAATCCAAAACAATTGTTCAATGTGATGAGGGTTGTCAAAATGAACATTTATGGAACTGGAGATATTTTGGTGAGGATAGAACTAGGTGTTATTCATACCTATGCATTGTAATACTTTTTAAATATGCACTACACATATTATTTTGTATTCCATTTGCAAGCCGTGCCATGCGTGACACAGAAAACAATCAGATAGGTTGTTAAACATTTTTTTTATTACAAAATGAAAGTTTATAACTTGTATAATTGAACAATGCATCGAACGTTAGAATACTTCTTCAATAGCCATAAATTTGGATAAGAAAATATACCTCATCGTTACATTACTCAAATTTGAAACTTTTTGAAGAGACAAAAAAAACAGAAGGCCGCCTTTTTTAATTGTTGACACAGGTTTAAACAGAAAACTAACAAAAAGCATTATTTATTGCGGATTTTTTTGAAAAAAGTACTACAAAACTTGCAGTTTGACTATGTTTTATACTGTTGGTAGTTCATTTTCTTTTGAAATTTAATATTGAAAAAAACGCTCGAAAGCTTTGAATGAACTGTTCTTATTTCAAATCTTGGTAAATGTATAAAAATAATTCGTCAGATTTAGGGCGGATATAATGTACAATAGGTCATAACATTTGTGTAATAAACAAACTAAAAAACAAATTGGCTGCAATATTTTCAGATTTTTGATGAAAAAGGAGACGGTTTAATGGGCTATAAAATTTACAACATTCAAGCAGGACAAACTGATAGAACGCAAAGAGTTTACACTGAAGTACCTCTTTATTTATATGTAGAGATAATTCAATTATTATTGTTCTTGATACTGCTCTAAATTTGAAGCTTGTAAATAAGACGACTGCCCTCATCGGCTTCATTATCCAAAATGTCGAACGGGAGGTCGGTCGTTCTACTCTGGTGCCCGCTTGTTCATACAAATTCTACAGGAAAGGGTACATTGGAAGGTCTTCCTCAGCCAGTAAAAGCTGAAAAATCACTGTATAACTTTTACAGTTTAATTCAGATATCTTATTTAAAAAAAAACAACAATGAAAATAAATAGATGTAAGAGTTGGCATAATCTTTGAAAACTGGTTGATATAAAATATATGTATTAACAATTGATACAGCTGTAAATGAAAAAAAATATATGAATGAATCAACTTTCAATACATTCAGTATATGAACATTTTCGTGGTTAATTTCTTTTAAAATTGATATTTTTCTGAATTTTACTATAAAGGCCAATTACATTTCTCTAAACCTTCATTTAAACATTATAAAAGTCATGTTTGCCCTTTCAAAAGAAGCAAACATTTATATGTTTCTGAGGCATAATGACTTATGCCTTTAGAATGAGTTTTGTTAATAATTGTACGTCTTCTTAGTGTGTACATAATCAGATTTGAATATTTTTGCTCAGGTTGGAAGTTACAACCCTAGCACTGGTCTTCGAATCACTTTAGAGGACATAGAATTCCCCAGAGATGAGCCTATCAGATCCTCATGTCCGAGTGAAGGTGCATGCCTCTCATGTTTAGGCAAAGACCCTGCTCCGAAAAATGAAACATCAACTACAGAGTAACTATACTGTTGTTATCTTTTTCAAACACATAAGTACCTAAGATCAAAGAATTAACAGAATACATCCTCAAAACTTTAATGAGAGTTTTTGAAGTGTAAATAGATACAATAATGTATCAATGTGATATACAAATTAACGGTATTCAGGTATGTATGGTCATTCTGATGATGCTGTTAAAAGCAGCTCAACTGAGGTAAAAAGGCCCATAAACATTAATTTTAGAATTCTTACATAAATCATGTGAATCGAATAAAATGGAATGATCTACAAACGATAATAAATAAATATGCTCTGAATTACTTTAAAAATCAGTTGTTGTGCGAATTTAAGTCCGATTTTACTGGAAAGTGTTGTGACGCTTTTCATTTTTGGGTTATTTTGCACAAAATAAAAATGATTATTCTGTAAAAAAACGAGGAGAGGAGATGAAAATTTTCACAAATCTTATTGGTCTAGACATACATCAAAATTTAATGGTACACACACAAAAAACAACAACAAAAAAAAAAACAAAAAAAAAAACATACTGACATAAAATATTTCACTAATTAATATCTTATTAAATGTTTGAGGCAGTAACCATTCGGTCATGTCTATTCATATTTATATGTATGTGCCTTTTTACATTATATGTCATCTGCTACGTTCAAATTTGATCGGACCGGGCCTAGAACATTTCCATTGTTATTGTGCCGTATCGGGCGTCCGTTCTGAATACATTTCTAGTATAATTTTATTTTAAATAATACTTTGTTTCTGATTTCTGCAGAGATGGAACTGATACAGTAGCTATGTTGGGAGCCTTTGTTGGAATTCTCATCGTGGTGATAATTATTCTTGTTGTTGTTATCATTTTAAATTTGAGGAAGCAACGCAAGACACCAAGTAAGATTGTTATAATGTTATGTTAAATGTTATGTTGAAATGTTATGTTAAAATGTTATCTTAAAATGTTATGTATAATGTTATGTTACATGTTATGTTAAAATGTTATGTTAAAATGTTATGTTGAAATGTTATGTTAAAATGTTATGTTGAAATGCTGTGTTAATATGTTTTGTCCAAACGTTATCTTAAAACAATAAGTTAAAATGTGGTGTTAAAATGCTACGTTGAAATTGTATGTTAAAATGATACACTAAATCTTATGTATTAAGAAACACATGTTGTATCATATTTCAGCATAATTTTAGCATCCCCATTCCAATATCATTGCTCCATTATTATCATCATTCAAAAGTTCATTTTATTCATTCTTTAGAGAGCTGTAACCACCGTTCTTCGTGTTTAATTAATTGCCCTTTATAGTGTCCTTAGTTTATATAGCTACTACAGTATTAAAATTAAAGTAAACCAAGGCTCGCATACATTATTTTACACTTGCATCATTAAATTTATTGAAAGAAACTATTTCTTCATTTGATTTGGAATAGACTATATTTAGTTTTTTAAAAGAAAAATCAGTATCAAAATACGTATGAAAATAGAGTGCCATCAGTCAAATTGACCTGATATAATTAAGCTGCATGTATTCTAGGCATATGTCCCACCACCATCACTTATGATATCACAGAATTAATATGGTTTAATTTTTTGATCTAGTAAAATAAGCATGTCATTATCATCATTAACTTTCAAAGTTTGAGTCAAAATTTTGAGCAACGCCATGACAAAACCAACATAATGGGTTTGCGACCAGCATGGATCCAGACCAGCCTTTGCATCCGCGCAGTCTGATCAGGATCCATGCTGTTCACTTACTAACCCTATAACAAGATGGGAAACTGATAGCGAACAGCATGGACCCTGATCAGACTGCCCGGATGCGCAGGCTGGTCTGGATCCATGCTGGTCGCAAACCCATAATGTTGGTTTTGTCAGGGCGTGGCTCAAATATGCAAACACGATCATGTGCATCTGGATAAAATGATATACACAACTGATGTATCTGTATGTTGTTTTGTTTTTTGTTATGTGAAAATTGATATTTTGAATGTTGTTTTGTTTTTTATTATGTGAAAATCGATATTTTGAAACAATTTCATAAACCAATGTAAAATGTACGTTTACAAACCGTTGTAAAATATATCTTTTGTTATGTGAAAGTTTATATTTTGAGACAAACTGTCATATTTAAGATGAAATTCTCGTTTATAGCTAGATATTTGTTATATTTGTAGATGACGTATACATTACCCCCACGGAATGCCTGAGCGAGAGACCATCTGTTGAAGGGAAACATTCTGATACAGATAGTATAAATGGTCACAATAATTATATAACTGTAAATCACTTGGATCCACCGCCAGGGTGCCGAAGTGAAGAGTTCCTTAGTAAATAAAAACAGACGACATCTTATTTCTTGCTGCTTTGTTGAACTTTGCAATTATAACTATTATATGTTTTAAATGTATACATTTAAGACTTCTTTAGCAATGATTTGGACAAATTTTGCGGCATATAAAATGTAACCAATGACATTCCAGCATTTGCACCACGTGATGTTCCAATATAATTCATTATTGGATCCAAGCTTATCAATTTGCTTGTTTTCATTTCTAGAGTCCAAAATTCCATATCAAATGCATATTGCACTCCATCTAGCTCCGTTTTCATTTTCCAAATCCAAAACAGTCATATCAAATCCATATTGTACTTTATCTTACCTTGACTTCAAAAAGGTCGATTTAAAATCTATATTGTTCTTTAAGTAACTGTATCTTTAATATTGTACAAATTACAATTGACTTTAATCTAATAAATTTTCTCCTAAGAAATGGTTATGTCAAATAGAGTGAATTATACATTTTAAGAACCATACCGATTTTGTTTGACTCGTAGCGTCTCGTCCAATAAAGGTTTAACTTTAACAGCTGTATACTCAACAATGTACACGTATCAGAACCTCATTACATAATAAAAGTGTCTTATAAGAGAATTCCACTCATTGAAATGATAAAAACAAAAGACCATATCCCATTTATTTTTATTCTACAAAAAGTAATTAGTTATCCGAAACAAATCTAGGTAAGTTGAAGTTAAATATAGTATTCCTCACTGTTTATCTCCCTTTTAACTATTCGAAGAGCAATAATTGACAAGTTTCCATAATTATTCTATATATACCATTTATCCCCCTTCAATCTTTATAAAACACATTTAGTCCTTAAGGATTACTCACTGTTTATCTCCCTATTAAACTATTTGAATAATAATTATTGACAAGTTTCCATGACCGTTGTATATATACTGATTGTCTCCCTCCATCTTTATAAAACACGTGTAGTTATTTAAAGATTACTCACTGTTTATCTCCCTTTAGTTTCCATGACCGTTGTAAATATACTGATTGTCTCCCTTCATCTTTATAAAACACGTGTAGTTCTTTAAAGATTACTCACTGTTTATCTCCCTTTAGTTTCCATGACCGTTGTAAATATACTGATTGTCTCCCTTCATCTTTATAA